ATGCTGGTGAAAGGAGATTTCTGGGGACCCAAGGGGAGTGGGGAAAGATAAAGATGAAATGAGAGGTGGGCATGGTGAAGCATGGTGGGAAGTGAAGGAAAGAGACGGAGGTGTGAGCGATAGAGGAATTGCTGCCCGCAGTTCCTCCAGGTCCTGTCAGTGGTGTGGGTGTGTCCACATCACCAGTCCACTCCTCTCCATTAGTCACTCGAATCCTCATTGCTCTTCTCTGCCAGGGACACATGGCTAGAGAAGGGAGCCAAATGCTGGTCAGGGGAGTGCTCTGTTACACACACACACACAGTACGTACGTATTCCCTCCCATCTCTGGCCACACGTCAGACAGAGAAGGGAGCACTAATCATGAGTGAGACGGGCATACCGACAATAAGCAGCTCTCCTACACTGCAGGCAGAGTCAGGGGTGAGGAAGAGAAGATCTGGGCAGAATATAGGGGGAAAGCAAAGCAGCAGATAAATTCCAGATCTCAGCCAATCCCGGACAGTTCCCCCCTCCCCGAGCACTGAGCTAATCTCCCTTAAGCCTGAGGCTAAAACAGAAGTCTGGCTCCCGTGCCAAGCCACCCAAGCCCCAAAGAGCATTCGAATCAAGCTAAAAATCTCAGAACAGCCTTTTGAGAGATGTCCTGTTATCTCTGCCTCTGCACTAGCAAAAATACAGCGACACCAGCCTCTTTTGTAGTACTTGGGTGCTTCTGTTTCTGGCCAAAACCAAGTTCAGAGGGACACAAAAATAAACACTTAACCCCAATTTTTCTGAACCGCAACAGAAGTTCATTTCAGATTCAGCAGGGAATGGAGGTTCAGAGAGGTTTTTACTTCTTCTGATTCAGTTCTGCCATCTCTAACAGGACGAGCGGGGCCAAGACCAGGAAGATAACCGGCTGAGCCCTATTCATAGGAGTATAAAAAGTCACCTCATCTTTTGAAAACCCCTTTCAGGAGTACATAGCAAAACTCAGACTAGCTCAGACTTCTACATCATTCCACTATTAAAAGCCTGCTGCCAAAAGACTTCTACTTTTTGTAGTGCTGGGCAAGTGACCTTTTGCAGTGCTGTCTATGTTGACACATAGCATCTCTTGGCTTGTCTCCAGAATAGTTTATCAACTTCTTCTTTCGTCTAGTGTTGGACTCGATGGGGACCCATCCACTGACTTCAAGAGGCTTTGGATTGGGCTCCTCGTATGCGATGTGATTCTGCTCTCCTAGCAGTGTAAATCTGGAATAACGCCACTGAAATCAATGAAGTTAAACTGGTGTAAAATTAGCGTAAGTAAAAGCAGAATCAGGCCCACGGTAGGTGGATTAGGTGCCAAGTCACCACTCCTGGAGAGTGAACAGACGCAAAGAGCAAAGGAATACACAAAGATCCAATGTGTGATGCCCAAGTTCAACAGAGCTGAGATGAATCAACGCTGCTGAAATGACAAGAGTGGCCACTTGACTTAAGGGGATTATGGGATGTTTCCGGAGGCTGATCAGAGCGCAGTAACGCAACACGTCATTCACACTGATGCCGCGGCGCTCCAGCGGGGGCGCAGCAAACGTTATTCCACTCGCCAAGGTGGAAACCAGCAGCGCTGTAGCTGCGGAGTCAGAGCGCTCTACGTGCCTTGCCAGTGTGAACGGGGAGTGAGCTAGTGCGCCCGAGGCTGCTTTATTGCGCTGTAACTCGCAAGTGTAGCCAAGGCCTGACTCCAATGCAGTTGCACTCTTGGGCAGGGACTTTCAAAGGATCCTAAGGGAGTTAGGCACCCAACTCCTCCTTTGAAAATCCCAGCCTTGATTTACAGTAGTTTAACTGAGCCCAGCACCTGGCTCATTCAGTCCGTTAGCATAACGGCACAAACCACCTCTGCTCAGGCACTGCACCTTCCTTGCTATTCTAATGGTGCTTTTGCTGCAAGTGCCTTAAGCGAGTCCTAGATTTTTATTTTCTGGTGAGTGAGGTATACAAACTCCTGACAGTGCTGGCTGCAACGGATGCAAAAGCCAAACGAAGTCAGTGGGCGTCTGTCATTTGGTTTCTTTGAGCTTTGGATCACACCCATTGTGGGTAGTTAAAAGAGGAGAGTCATCTTTCCTCTTAGAACACTTCCGGCTCTTCACTGCCAAGGAACACACAGCCTGCCTGGACTTACTGCGTCAAAAAAATATTCAGCTCATCTTTGAATTGAAAACAGAATCTTCCCTTACACCATAACCATTGTTTTCACTTGAGGAATTCAACTCCCTGGAATGTTTTTCTTATTTTTTCTCATGGTGATATACAACCCCACATGTCTTTGAGGGAGTTCCAGAAAGCGTCACTCATTTCACTTCACGTCAGACACAATTCCCCAATTATCAGCAAATCATGTGTTGTCGGCAAAACCATCCCACATCCCATCCTCCTCCCCCACTCCCCAGGAGATTCCCTGAATTCCTATGACAGATCACTGATAACCATTAGCTGCACAAGCATTAAGGAGATCCAAGCGCTATATCTGACCAACAGGAATGGGCTGTCACAGAAGGAATCGAAGATCAAAGGGAATTAACTGACTTTGCTTATGGGAGCTATCTTTATGACGCTTGGTGGAGTACACATTAAAACAATTTAACAAAAACCACAATACTGAATTCCACCTGTGAAAGGTTTTCAACAGTGTGTGGTGCATCAAATCCTCCTAACATTTGGAAAAGGATAAAAGGAGGAATGCAGATTTGAACAACACACACGCGAACGATTGTGCATTAGCACAGTGGATGAAAAATATGGAACACCAGATCAATGCAAAGTAGGTGAAGAGCCTAACACTGTTGCACAGAGTTTTCATCCAGTTACATCGGCAAATATAATGCGAGACTTAGGGCTTGCTAATACATGGAGTTATTCTGGAATAGCTAGCGCACTTCAAATTCACACACTGCCTTAATCTGAATTACCTTCAAGTGTCGACAATCCCTAATAGGCAAATCTGCAAACAGAAGCTGCCACTCATCCTGAGCAAAATTCACTCTTGTGCAGCGGGCCAGCAGACATGCACCACGTTAAGTCTCAATTAAGGCTTATTTTTAAAAGTGAAGAGAGACCTATATGGTACCTAGACCTTAGGAAGGGCCTCCATATCTGAGTAAGAGATGTGTACATTCTAACTGGAATAGCCCATACACTCTTGTATTTGCTGTTGTTGAAGCAGCAAAGTGAAAGAGGGATTTGGAGAGATGGGAGCAGCAGAGAAGTAGTAAAAAGAATTGAAAGACTAAAGAGAAGAATTATGGGAGACAATTACAAAAGGACAGCCTCAAATCTCAGATTTCTGCCCTTTTTCATTGAGCTGGATTGCCTCTGATTTAGATTTTATAACACAGGAAATACACAAGCTGTTCCTCCATCTTGTATACGGACGGTATGGATGGAGTTTCTTCTGTGTGTTTTAATATTGGAGCTCACACTCAGAACCTATTTGCCTTCAGAGGTTTAATTCTCTGCTGATTTACATCCCATTGTTATAGAGCTGAATCCAGTATAAATTTGCCCTCATATTTCTTGAATGCAAAGAATTAAACCCTAGGGGTTCACATGGACACTTTCTGATCAAGAGTAATGCGCTGCTATTTCCGCTAACATTAACCATCGTTTACAAATACAGCCACAGTCCAACTATGGGTTGAATGTGGAAGTTTGCTTTAGGCTTTTTGTCCTTAAGGGTATCACATTGATTACAGTCTGATTACATCGGCTGATCTTTGGTTCTGTTCTAGTGGCAAGTGTTATCAGCCTCAGCAGAGATGCTAAACAATGGAAACTGAACTAACCTCCCATCTGAAGGTATGTCTACACAGCAATAGGGAGGTACAACTGCAGCATGGGTGGGCATACCCAACTAGCGTTGATCAAGCTTCTTGCTGAAAACAATGGTGCTGCAGCTCCGCATATTTGTAGTGAGCTAGCTCAGGTATGCATACACATACTGTCCCAATTGCAATGTAGACATACTCTAAGACAGGGGCGGGCAAACTTTTTGGCCTGAGGGCCACATCGGGTTTTGGAAATTGTATGGAGGGCTGGTTAGGGGAGGCTGTGCTTCCTCAAACAGCCAGGCGTGGCCCGGCCCCCGCCCCCATCCCCATCCCCCCTCTGCTGCCCCCCCCCAGGACCCCTGCCCCATCTACCCCCCCGCTCCCTGTCCCCTGACCGCCCCCAGAACCTCCACCCCTGACGGCCCCCTGCCACCCCATCCAACCCTTCCTTTCATTCCTGACCTTCCCCCCCCCTTCCCTCCTGCCCCATCCAACCACCCCTTCTCCCTGACCACCCCTGGAACCCCTACCCCTGACTGCCCACCACTGCCCCCATCCAACCCCCCCTCCTTCCTGACTGCCCCCATTCAACCACCCTGTTCTCTGCCCTCTGACTGCCCTGCCCCCTATCCACACCCCTGCCCCCTGACCACCACGCCGAACTCCCCTGCCCTCTATCCAACCCCACCTGCTCCCTGCCCCCTTACCGCGCTGCCTGGAGCACTGGTGGCTGGCGGCGCTACAGCCGCGCTGCCTGGCTGGAGCTGGGCCACACCGCCACCACGCAGCACAGAGACCAGCTCAGGCCCCGGCTCTGCATCTGCGCTGCCCCAGGAGCTCACAGCCCCCCCACCCAGAGCATTGCGCTGGCGGCAGAGCGAGCTGAGGCTGCGGAGGAGGGGGAACAGCAGGGGAGGGGCCGGGACGAGCCTCCCAGGGCAGGAGCTCAGGGGCTGGGCAGGAGGGTCCCGTGGGCCGGATGTGGCCTGCGGGCCGTAGTTTGCCCACCTCTGCTCTAAGAGGTGGTCATTACAAAACAGGGTTGCGTGATATGAGTGGGGCAGTTTGGTGAAGTAATGCATGTGTTGTTTTTGCTCATGCTGCACCTGTTTGGTGGATTGTCTTTTCAGCACCTCTTCCCCAGCACTAAAGTCACTATTTTTTCCTTTAAAACACGTTCCATGTGCTTACCTTGGCTTCCAGAGTGTTTAGCCTCTCAGTCATATCAGTTAGTCTGGTGCAGTTCATGCATTCTAGAAAAGAGAAGGGGTACAACAAGTGTTTTATTAATTTATTTGAACAGCTCTTAATCTGCAGTCTCCCGTCACTCTGTGTCCATGCAAACGTGTTGATTTCACAAGACTAAGAAATAATGCTTATGGCGCAATTATAGACCAAAAAATGTAAATATTAAACACCATTGACAAGTTAGTGGCCACAGCCAGGCTAAACGTAAATGAAATCTACGTAAGATCTGAAGCTGCTAAGAGGTTTGGAATGTTCGAATTAGTTCCTGAGATGTAGAAATAGGCAGACTGTAGATGAGGAGGTCAATGGTGCATGATAAATAGTCACATGGTTTCAATATGTATTACATGGCTGGCACCAGCACATAGACTACATATACCACCTGCCGCTATCAAATATCTACAGTGTTGCAAGCATACACTGCTCACACTTCAAAAGCTTCTTCTGTTTTGAGAGAGATTGATGATTTTAGGGGCATTCCCCATTTTAAGTACAGGGAATCCCCCTCCACCTGGAAGAAATCCAGCCTCATTTCTAGGATTCCATGAAAAAGTGAGACCACTGTATGTACACACACACTCATCTGGGCCTACTTCAATGTCCATGAAGCCAGTGGAAATATTCTCATTGCCTTCAGCAGATGCTGGGTCAGGCACCAGATCTGAAGCAGCCCTAGGTAGCAGTCACAAAGCGATTCATATCTCACTTTACTATACAGGAGCCACTAGATACTTGATGACAACCACCAGATTTTCTACTGCGTCCATCCTAAAGAACAAACAGAAACGTAAGGGGCTGCGAGTGTGGTTTAGAATGATTGCCTGATACAACTTATCACTTATCTAAACTTCGTGACTGCGTTTACCCCTGGTTTTCATTTCGACAATTTCTTAGAATTTTTGGTTTTGTTTTGCTGAGCAATGCTTTCTGTTGAAACGGTGACTATCTGAAGTGCTCTAAGGCTCTCCTTCCCGCCCCTGGGTGAGCTGGGATCTGGGGAGACTCTGCCCCTAAAGGGTAGGGAATGGGGGAGGTCTGAGCCTCTCTCCCTGATCCTGTGTGTAAGCGGGTGTACTAAATGGGGAGAGGGGCAAATGAGAACACCCACTGAGATGAACAAAGCAGTTCACACCCCTCAGAGCTATTGTTTCAGGTGTATCCATGGGGTTCTCTTCTTCAGCTGAGAATGTCTTTGGCCAGTGTTTTATCCTCGGTCACCCACTTTCCCACAGGTTGGCAGCAACTCTTTGTTTTACATTACAGGCTACTAGAAAGTCTCCCAATCACTCTGGAGAACAGATTAGCTCATTCACATGTGTCAGCTTCTACAATGCAGCAGTTTTAAAAGGAAAAAATGAGCCGAGCAATGTGGAATATTATAGATAAGGTACAGAAACCAGTTGATTGTTATGAATCGGTTGCTACTCTCATATCCCTCATTCCAAAACAAATCTGCAGTTTTCGGCTCACTAAGGGCCTGATCCATTGACGTCCACTGGAGTATTATTATTATTTATTACTTGTATTGCGGTAGCATGGAGAAACCTCAGTTATGGAGCAGAACCCCCCGGTGCTAGGTGCTGTATACAACACAGAACAAAAACTGATCCCTGCTCCAAAGAGCTTACAATCTAAGCAGATGCATCAGGTCCTAACAGCAACCAATCTCCAAACGCACACAAAGCGTCCTAAGAAGTTCTTCCTCTTTGGTCTATCAGTGTCACTGAAATTCTGCAGTGGGATTTTTTAGAGCTGCTTAAACTCCCATTGGCCCCTTAATTTCTAATGGCCACCTGCAAACTGAACATCTGACTCCTCAGGCAGATTTGGTTTCAAGAATTTCATTCCAAGCTAGTACTGAAAGGGACCTACTTTTTTTTTTTTTTTTGTTGTTTTTAACAGGAAATACCTTTTTAATATTTTTTTTTTTCAGCAATTAATTTTTGGCAACAATTTTTTTCCCCCCTAGAACAAACTGGCTCATGCATATGCGAATGCCTTACGTGTGTTATCACAAAATGGAACAGAACGGGTAAGGCTTGTTTGGTTCAGAACTGTTTGTGGCGTGTAAAGTCGGAATGATCTGGGTGTAGATTAGCTACATGTTTTTGATCTTGCTCATCCGCCCAGGAAGAAAAGATTGAACAAATCCATCATTTCACAGAGCCAAAAAGGGTATTAGATGCATTACAGAACAAATAAAATAAGAAGCCCTGTTCTCCCCTTTCCCTGTCCAAAGATACTATTAACTCCCATTGATTTCAGTGGGACTGACTTGTACTGTCTGAAATTCACTCCTGTGCAGAGCAGGAGATGGATGTACCACCTGAGAACTCATCTGGTACATGGGGCTCGTACTGCCCCTCTGCGCATGGTTCAATTTCACCAAATTGACGGGGGAGAATCAGATCTATAATCTGTGCCAGACGGAGTTTACAAACTATGGTCCTGATTCTGCAATTAACTATGTTCGTGCAGAGCCCTACGCGCTCACGGAGCCTCTCTGACTCCACATTAGCACGTCTATTTGCAGGGCATGAGGTTCATTTTCAAACTGACACAAGGAGTGATAATTAACAATATGGTGGGATGGGGATGAGGAAGCAGAAGAGTCACAGTAATAAGATCATGCAGGCATTTGTTTATGGTTTGCGCCCACCGACACGCCCACCAAAGAAATGTAATGTTAATTAATGAAAACAAGGACAAATCAAGAAAGATTTACAGTACAGTACGTAGTGCTCAAAGAATACGGTGTTATTTGTTAAACTTAATAGTTACATTACTTTGGCGCAGAGGATCTTGAGCTGTTCTTACAAAGGAGCAAGGGAAGGTCAGCAACTCTTAAGTCATAGGTTGCTGAGAGGGAGCTTGACATGGGTCTGAACCCCCCCCTGAACTGTACGAAAGTTCAGATCTGTGTGTGAACTTTTTACCTCCGACCCACTTCTCAGGATGCACAAAGCAGCAACCTATGCTGCAAAGGCAAATTGTTCTACAAATGCAGAATGGCAAACCCTTGTGTTATAACTTAGCAGTGATGTTTAGTTCATCAACCTACAGACAGTGGTTTCAAAAAATGAAGTGGTAGATCAGGGATCGGCAACCTTTGGCCCACGGCTCACCAGGGTAAGCACCCTGGCGGGCCGGGCTGGTTTGTTTACCTGCCGCGTCCGCAGGTTTGGCCGATCACGGCTCCCACTGGCCACAGTTCGCCGCTCCAGGCCAATGGGGGCTGCAGGAAGCGGTGGTCAGCACAACCCTCGGCCCGCGCCGCTTCCGGCACCCCCATTGGCCTGGAGCAGCGAACCGCGGCCAGTGGGAGCCGCGATCGGCCGAACCTGTGGACGTGGCAGGTAAACAAGCCGGCCCGGCCCGCCAGGGTGCTTACCCTGGCGGGCCGCGTGCCAAAGGTTGCTGATCCCTGGGCTAGATAAATGCTAAGTATTATTACTACACGTACACTCAAAACATACTTAGATGAAACAAAACAGCAAGACAGCTTCTAGTACTCTAGTCTAACGTTGAATCTGTTTACTACCAGGGGACTATATCCGGTCCTTGGGGTGGGGGAGGGGGAACGGGAGGAAACAAGCAAATACATATTTTCTGTATCCACTTACTATGAAATTAAGTATTTAGAGATCTGATCCAAAAAAACTCATTGAATCCAAAAATGGAGCCCATAAGGTCAAGTTTTCTGATCAGGGAGAATGCCTTTTGCATTATTAAAGCCAGCTAGGAGGATCTCACATCATCATTTCACATTCAACACTGAATTCATTGTGGCAAATCTTACATGCTCTCTGAACTGGAATCCCTGAAGAGACTCCTTCCAGGTCTGCATAAATTCATCATCTGTTGCAGCGTGGCACCATCGTTTATTTCTCTTGTATTCCTAGTTGGTGCATTAGGTGGAGTTTTTTTCCAACTAAATCTTGAGTAAGGAGTTGTGATTTCACTCTACAAAACCCAACTTCAAAACACATGGTCGGATTTGTTTTAGAAATATTCCAGGAGGGAGGATAAATAATTGAGATGATGAACATTATACTGTACCAGAGTATCACATGACACCCAGTCTGTCTCCATAATGTCTCAACATGATTATCCCAATACCACTCCTTATGCACCATTCTCTCCCCCCCTCTCGCCGTATGTGTGCCGTGCAAAATAATGCTACACGATGGAAAGAAATGACATGACCTATCAGATGCAGGATAGGATCAGCATTTCTCAAGAAACGGAAATGTAACAGATCACAGAGTCTGTATGCCTGGGGCAAGATATAACCCTGCTGGTTTTGATCTAAAAGATTGCTACACTTGATCCTAGATTAAAAGGGCGTGGGCCAGACCTTCAGCTAGTGTAGACTGGTGTCCCTCTCAATTTCAATGGAGTTATGCCTTGTGATGTTATTCCCTCTTTACACACCTCAGACAGCATAAGCATTAGCATAATTTTATAATGATTATTTAAAAATATTACACATTTTAACTGTTCGGTGCTTCCAGCCTCGAAAATCTGAGAGCTCCTCACCTCACTAAAAGCAAGCACAGTGGACATGATTCTTCCCTCTTGGTTATGACCGGTTTCAACCCATGCTTTACACCAGTGGAAGTGAGAGGACAGTCAGGCCAGTGTTTACAAAACCACAATTGTGCAAAAAGAAAACGTCCCAATGTCTCTGCCCACTTTTCGGTCCCTACAGCGTGCGCACGTGCACAGACAGACACAGGACACAGAGAGACTCTAGGCTCAAAAATAGAAGGGAAACTAAAGGCCAAGTGCAAATCGGCATAAGTCCTTTGAAGTCCGTGGATCAAGGCTCTGGGTTTCTGCCCTGAAGGTTACTCCAAAGCGGATATTTGGGTACAGTAAATGGAGGGTGAGAAAATCCCAGAGCCACGGACTCTTAATTTAAAACAAATAGTCTTGAGAGAACAGGAAAGAAGAAGATTCTATCTCTCAACAAGCAGCAGCTCCAAAGTTGCAGACCTCGGTT